AACTGGAAAGTAATTGACTGGCCATGTAAATTAGAGCATATTCCATGAGAATCAATTTTCCCAATTGGCATAATCAAAGCTAAAAAGGGGGTGCCCAAAATAACCTGTTGTGCCATATTCCTGATGAGTAAGAAGGTGGATGGTAAACAAACGCCTTCTTTACAAATGAAAACATGATTAAGTTTATACTTAATCTACATCTTACCTCCACTTGCACTGGTAAGACCTTGAGTGGTTTTCTCAAAGTATTGAGTAGGAACCAATCCTTCCTGTATGCAGTTCATGTCTGCACCACTATCAACTAAGGCGATTGCATTAGTGATTGTGTACTCCTGATTAATTACCAAATTGATAGAGATATACCATTTTTGGTAAGTAACTTGATTCAAGAGTTGGAGATAATTAGGACCTTCTGATTGAGGGACTTCATCATTGGATGATGAAGATGGAATTGCAGATTTTGCTTTTAAAAGAGTAATTTCCAAATCCATCTTAGTCTGACTAGACTTTAATTGACGAATTTCTTCTTTTAAAAGATTAATCTCCATTCTGAGATCAGGGAGATTAGCAGGACGAGAATTTTGTCCTTGGTGTTCTAATCTGCTTAGAACTTCTTTCATGCTGTAATGATTCTCTGCGCGCAGAAAATCTGGATTATCCGTATCCTCATTAGATCGTGCCAAAGCAGAACCTATTTCAAAGACTTTCATCTTGATTTGAGGATCCTGGATATGATCTATAAGATCCAATAAGGATTGTTGAGTCGAAGTTAAAACATTTAAGCTTAACCCATTCATCTCAACAATTGCCTTATAATAATCATGCGAGGGATTACAAGAACATCTAGGGTTTACAATCTCTGCTTCAGAGGAAGAAGAAGATTGTAATTCCATGACAACATCCCCATAATTACTTGATGATTCTGATTCAGAAGAACTAGTATTAAGTAACAATTTACTTAATTGAAGTCTCAGTTCCTCTTCGATTTGAAGACTACTGAGTTTCTCCTTAGTTCTGCACTTGTTTGCATAGTGGCCGATACGTCCACATTTAAAACATTTAGCCTCAGCCTTGGGTTTTCCTTTACCCTTTGCTTTGGGAATATATTTCCTTTTAGGCTTAGTATACTGTTTAGAATTATTCTTTTCCTTTGAATAATTCTTTCTTTTGGAATACTTCCTTTTATAAGGTTTTTCAACCTTATTTCTTTTCCTAGGATTAGGATAAGATAAAGGAGTTTGGTAGGCAAATTGATCACAAAATTCACCTACTTCCTTTCTACCAGTTAATCTTTGTGCTTTTAACTGGGATTGTAACTTCAGATCATTACAGAGAGCTAGACCTTCCTGGATTACAATGTTGACTAATCCACCATAGGTATAGTTTCTGTAAGGGATAGAGATACCATTATTCATATCTCTAAGCTTTTTCCTGATTCTTTCGGCAAAAAAGGTTGGTAAACCATCCACAAATTTTGCCTTCCAATGCTCATGATTTGCATCATTGAGTTGGAGAACCTTGGCCAGGAAAACATCTTTATACCACCTAAAATGAGTTAAAGATGGACATCTTAGATTCTGTAGAAGCTCACGACTCCGTTCACTATTAGCACCTTTCGGGCCAACAAAATGTTGGATAATAGTGGTAATGAGAGTGTAAACCGCATTAGGAGTAGGTCATGTTTGTTGAGTAGCTTCATCTTTAACTATCTTGGTAGCAGAAAAGATTTCAGCTTTCTGAATGTCAGTGAGAACATTATCCCACCATCCTTTAAGGATTCCTGTAAAACCAGCAACGACAAACTTAGCAATGGTTGGGTCAGTATTGTTGTTGATTTTACAAACGTGGCTATACATCAACATTTGATGAATAACCTCGTAAATCTGATAATCAGATTTGCCATCTATGTTCCATTCATAAATGGTTTTGCCATGAAAAGATTTCTGTGTATGAAAATAATCTTCTTCATACAAGATATCTTGAGGTGTAGGTTTGGGATAATAATATCGACTCGGAGCAGGGGCTGTATTAGAGTGGATATTCTTATCATAGACAATTCTGTTTAACTCAGGCATCTGAGGAAAATCATTTTGGAATACCTCAATATGAGGTAACACATTCTCAGATTCAGAACCAATTTCAGATTCATCATGGGATAAAGTCTGAATTTTGAGTCCTTGAATCTTCTGAGTAAGAAGAGTAAGAAATTCTTCATTCTTCTTAGGATGGGTCAGATTGAAGCCTTGAACTTCAATTGCAGGTTTCACCAATGCTTTGGATAAGGAAGCTTCTGGTGGAGAAGTTTTAACAGTAATACACTTAGTATTAATTGTATTTAATACCGTGTCTATTCCTGTTTCAATTCTCCCAAGCTGGGACCCTACCGTTTGTAAGCAAACATTAGTATAATTGTTCTGCCTGTAAACATGAGAAATGTCTTTTTTCGTAGCATTACAGGATGGATCAATTATTCTGGGTTGGCTATAAGCCTTGGCTTCCACTTTAGCACCACTGTCAGGGTCAATTCTTTTCAGAATTAGATGTTCAGTGGGAGGATGGACAGAGTGAAAAACCTTATCTTCAGATGTGGTCCACGGTTTGAGAAAATCATCCAATATGTTTATATTAACAAGAGAATGATTGGTCATGTAAAACCAAGAAACAAAAGGTATAAACATTTTGCGTTCTTGTAGAAATTCATAAAATTGGGTTTTAAAAAGCTGTAATTGATTTTGGTCAAAACTTTTGAAATACCAATTTCTGAATTCTTTATATTGATCCTGTTGAAATTCAGTATTAATGGCAATTCTATCAGGGACAAAATCCATTAAAACTAATATTCATGAGGGTCATTGATGTCTGTGGGATCATCAAACTGATCCTTGACAGATTCATTTCCGATTCCCATTTCAGATGGAGTTGGGCTGAATTCAATTCCAAATTGGCGACGAGACATACCTATTGGTGCTTTCTCGTAGACTCCTCTTGGAATTTGATTCTGAGATTGTTGTATTCCTTTCAGCTTGAGCTTGGAATCAACTGCTCCAGGGAGTTCTTCCTTTCGGTAATCCGATGAGATCGAATGGCGAGAAGGAGGACAAGAAACATGATAAGGAAGATGACTTCCTTTAGATGATGTAGATCTATGTAGATCTATGGATTTTCTGAAATTCAGAAAAACATCACCATCTTGGTCCTGAATAACACAGTCTAAGCTATGATTAGCAATTGGCTGTGCTGGAACGGCATTAGAAATCGTCCAGTGTTCAGGAAATGTTATCTCACTCCAAGGAATCATCCTTTTTGTGGCAACATTTGATGTGTACATGTTGGTATCCCATAACGCTGTTACTCCTTTAGAGTCTTTGCGTATGGCATTGGGACCCATAGTATCAAGGACTTTGTAATGGATGCGATAAATAACACTTATCACTTCCGATCCAGGTAAGTAATCATACCCATAAGTCTGAACCCTAAGACTAACTGCCTCATGGATATTTTTATCTGTTAAAGATAAATTAAGACTAGGATAGACATTAAAATAAACCGGTCCATGACATAGACTGGTTTCCAGTGCACCCATCAAGGAAGGGTGAAATTTCAGACATCGAGCATCCCTAAGGGTTGCTTGAATACAAGCATCCATACCTAACAAGGTTAAAGGTTTAAAAGCAATTTGAATTAAACCTATATGGATGTACTTATATTTATGCATGTGCCTCTGAAGGTCACGGGAAGACAATAACTTAATTATTGTATCCTTAGTGCTTAATTGCATGGTCTGTTCCATGGTCTTGATAGTCCATAGATCAGCTAAATTAAGCATTCCGATTTTGTAAATGCTTTTTGCACTTACTGGAGGGATAGTCCATCTGTTCAATTTATTTTGAACATTGGTCCATTCCACTACTTCAGTATTTTTTACCAGTTCTGAATCCTGGTTGTCCTGTAGTCCTGAAGAGGAGGACGAAGATGGTTGTAACATGTCTGTTAATTATTGTTAATGCTTTAAGGTCTGAACAGTATAAATATTATAATATTATATAGTGAACAGTAAGTTACTATTCTGTCATCCTTCTGCTTAAGAGAGATTCTATTACTCGTCTGTCAACGATTTACTGGAAACAATACCCTGTGCAGCAATTTAATGCAAAAACGGGTTGAACATTCCAACGCGACTTTTGGACGACCCGTAATTGAATCTGGGATAAACATAATTTAGACAGAATAATATTCATATTGTTCATTACATAATTACTATAATAAGCATGCTACCAGAACCTAAAAAGCATTAACAATAAGAATTAAAGCCATCATGGCTCTGATACCAATAAATAAAAATGGGTTGTGATTGAGTGACTAAATCTGACCATTTCTGCATGAAGTTTATTAGCATTATGATGGTGTGACTAGTGTCATTTTGCATGAGTGTTGATTATAAGAAGACTATTGTAGCAACTATGCTAATTAATTTGTATGACATGTTATTCAGAATTTTGAAATTTGAGATATTGGAAAAAATTAAACCTATCAATATAGTTCAAAAATTCTTCAGAAATGAAATTCCCATTCAATGTATTTAACCAATCCACCCTACAACTGTAATAGCAGCAGCAAGCTAAACAGCAGTAGCATAGAAGGCAAAGAAGTAAACAAAGCCACAAATAGCAGTTACGAAACTCCAAAACCTCAATCCTTTAACAAAATTAAATTAGAAAAAAATTAATAACTTCAGTAATTATGTAACATCAAAATATATAATCAAAAGGAGTTATAGAGCAAGATTTCAAGAGAATTACCATCTTCCTGTGACCCAGGCACATTTTGCAGATCCTTCAAGTGCTAATATTTTGATTGTTAACTCATAAGACCATTTTCCCTTTTCTTTGAGTATTAATTTTGATACATGCTCAGGTTATTATAACCAACTTCTGAATATTTCATAAAATTTCCAACCATAACCAGAATTGATCAATAGGAAGAAAGATTAAAAGCAAGCAATCAAGGAAGATCTCAGCTCTTACAAGACTGAACAATAAATCACCACCGCCAAAAAAAGAAAAAAAAAAATTTGAGGCATGCCATCAAACAACCTGCTAGAAAATTTATTGCCATCCAAGCCACTAGTTGAAAATATTTTATAGGATTTTAATCAATCATAAATAACACGCCAAACCTCGAGTGTTTTTTTTTTTTTTTTTTGTTAACAAACTTCATAAATTGTTATTGCAATAATCCTTTGCCATGACCAATATATGTTCTCGCAAAAATAAGCCAAGGAGGAGAAAAAAAAGGTTAATTCCATAATGCACATCTGCTTCCATAATGCAAAGCTGCCATTGCTCCTAGAATTCTTCTGTTGTAGCTTCTTTCTCATCTCTGGAAAATGAAAATAATAAAAAAAATAAAACTTCATTCTCAACTCCAATCGGCTCAATTTGTATCTGACATGTCTTATGTAGCTATATATATATATAATAAGAATTAAGTAAATAATAGATCATGCTGTAACAACATTCGATCTTACTATATTGTTTAGTTACAAATATGAAATGTGTTAGAATGAAATGATAATAACCATTTTAGCGTTTGGTTGCCCCAATTTGAAATTTAGAATGGAATGAATTTCAAATTGAAATCTCCAAAATACCCTCTTATTGACAAATAAATTAAATTAATAAAATAATATTCTTCTATAAGTTTTTAAAAAGAAATGGTGACAGTGGTGGATGGTGGTGGCAATGGTAGTAGTGTGGTGGTGGTGATGAAAAGAGATAGTAGTGTAGGTGGTGGTGGTGGAAGGCAGTCGATGTGACAGTGGCAGTGGTGGTGGAAGGCAGTGGAGGTGGAAGGCGGTGATAATGGAAGGAGATAGTGGTGTAGCTGTAGGTGGTGGTAGTGGAAGGTGGCGGTGGTCGAAGGCAGTCAAGGTAACGGTGGTGGTGGTGAAAGGCAGTGGAGATGGAAGGCGGTGGCGGTGGTGAAAATCAGTGGCAACGGTAGTGGCAGTGGAAGGTGGTGGTGATGGAAGGCAGTTGCGGTGGTGATAGTCGGTGGAGGCGGTGGAAAGAGGGGGTGATGGTGACAATGGTGGTGGAAGGTGATGGCAATGGTGGTGGTGAAAGGCAATGGCGGTGTTGTTGGAAGGCGGTGGCAGTGATGAAATTCAGTGGCAGTGGTGCTAGTGGAATGTGGAAGGTGGTGGCAATGGAAGGTTGTAGAAGCAACAGAGGTGTGGTGGTGGTAGAAAGCAGCAACAGTGGTGGTTGTGGCAGTGACGATGGTGGTAGTGGTGGAAGTCAATAATGGTGTAGGTGGTGATGGTGGTGGAAGGTGGCGATGGTGGTGATGATGGAGGCGATAATGGTGACAGGGGTGGTGGCAATAATGGTAGTGGTAGTGAAAGGTGATGGTGTTGGTGGAAGTCTGTGGTACTGGTGGTGACGGTGGAGGTGGTAGTGGTGGAAGGCAGTGGAGGCAACGATGGTGTGGCGGTTGATCGAAGGCGGCAACAATGATGGCGATGGTAAGTGATGGTTATGTAAGCCAATGGAGGTGGCAGTGGTGAAATGCGGAGGAGGTTGTGGTGGAAGGCGGTGGTGGTGGAAAACAATGTTATTGGTTACGATGGTGGTGGTGGTGGTTTTCGAACTTGGAACATGAGAATTTTTTGGATAGTTAATTTTTAAAAAAAAAAATTATTTGGGAATAAAATGACTATTTCATAGGTTTAGTTGTTGAATGGATTTTCATTCTCAGGAATGCATTTTTATTGTAATGAAATGGTCGTTTTCACTTTAAATTGCATACCAAACAAATGAATGATTGAAATTAGCATTACATTCTATTCCATTCTTACACACCAAATACAGCATTAGTATAAACCATCACCACACAATTCGTACACCATTTTTTCATATATACTTTGGTGGAGTTGACAAAAATGGTGACTATATTTGATTTAAGAAACAAAAATGGTTAGTGTGATATTAGAGGAAACTAATAAAAAATGATATCACATTTACTTTCAGAAGAGTGTTACATATTGATACTACCATTTAATCTTTCCAATCATAAAAGCCTAAAAAATCTAATTATATATGCTCTAACTCTGAAACAATCATCCTCTTGTTTTGAAGGAAGGCTAGGGCTAAACTCTTTAAAACTTAAAAAAAAATTTGTATTAAAGGTACTACAAAAATATTCAGCTTAAAAAAAAACTAAAAAATTCAATAATAATATAAAGTAATTTTAAAAATGAAAACAACTTAAAATTCATTGATAAGTCATTTCTTTTACTAAATGATCTTAAAAAATTTAATAAAATTCATCAAAATTCACTAAAAATTTATATTTATTGAATAATTTGAATTATGTTATAAAAACTAGTGTATAGGTGCAGATCTGTCATTACATCGCGACTGCGAACCTTAGTTTGTTGTTAAAAATGGGACTTGTAAACATTTTTCTTTTTATTTTCAGTTTATTTTATTTCAGTGGGTACCACAAATTTTACCACCTTTAAGTGAAAGGAGATTCTAAGTAACACGTATCAATTTTTTTCTCAAAAGGGTAAAACTAAAATCGTTAAGAAATAACATAACCAGTCTATATATCGTGTCTTAAAAAATTAAACACGGTAATTGGTATGTGAATTCTCTCTCCTGTATGTTTTACAGTCCGCTAATGATATATATGCTACACAAACATAGCGAAATACAAAAAGAAAGAAAATATCATATTTTAATTTTAAGTTGAAGATGTAAGATGTTTGTATTTAAAAAGGTAACTGTCTAAAAGTGGTTTGCAGTTAAAAATGTCTCCCTATGCAACTTTAATGAAAAGTAATGGTTTTTTTTTTTTTTAAATTAAAATAATTAATTTAAATATATAAAAATATTTAAAAAATGAACACGGATGTAGAAATATATTGTGGTATCCTCCATACCTGCCTTCTATTCCTAAATCATCTGAGTCGCATTCCCTTCTCCAATTTGTACTCGGTTGTTCACTACGAAGGTCACGGATTAAACAGCACAACACGCATAATAGACAACAAGGGCACAACAGGCACATTACACAAGATGTCCAACAAGAACCTGAAATGATAAATACAAAGAAATGATTAGAAGCACCGATGGAAGATCCCTTACCACCTAGCTAGAGAGAGAAATTGTTGTCTTCCATACCTTCTTTTTCTTCTTGTGTTATTGGATTAATCGGGATAATATGTGTGTTTGGCAGATCCGGTATTTGTTCAAGAGATGTGCACTCTCTGACATCCAGTACCTCCAAGGCTTCCAAAGCCTCAACACCTTCAATCTCACATAAACTCGTGCATTTTTCGAGGGTTAAGTGTCTCAACATTTTCAAGTTTGACAGATTGGGTAATCTTACTATGGATTTGCAACCATACAAATTCAAATCTTCCACTGATACCAATCTATCTAATCCTTGGATCTTAGTGAGATTCTTGCAACTTCGAACTAATAACTTCTTCAAGTTAGACCCAATTGATTGATTTTCAAGGTGTTTGTACTCGCTCATCTCCAAGGACGAGGATGATGGTAGAGATGCAGAACATTCAAAAAAAACTTGTTCAGTTATTTCATTGCACTCATCTATCTCCAAAGATGTCAATGATTCTAGATTTCCTAACCCTTGAATCACTCTCAGCTCCAAGGACGAGGATGATGGTAGAGATGCAGAACATTCAAGCAAATCAAGTTCAGTTATTTCATTGCACTCATCTATCTCCAAAAATGTCAATGATTCTAGATTTCCTAACCCTCGTATCACTCTCAATGTGTGGCACTCACGTATTGTCAATCTTTTGAGAGATTTTAGTTTCCCAAACAATTGTACCTCTTTAAGAGTGTGGCTCATCTCCAAGGACGAGGATGATGGTAGAGATGCAGAACATTCAAGCAAATCAAGTTCAGTTATTTCATTGCACTCATGTATCTTCAAATATGTCAATGATTCTAGATTTCCTAAACCTTGAATCACTCTCAGTGTGTGGCACTCACCTATTCTCAATCTTTCGAGAGATTTTAGTTTCCCAAACAATTGTACCTCTTTAAGAGTGTGGCTCATCTCCAAGGACGAGGATGATGGCAGAGATGTAGAACATTCAAGCAAATCAAGTTCAGTTATTTCATTGCACTTACGTATGTCCAAAGATGTCAATGATTCTAAATTTCCTAACCCTTGAATCACTGTGAGTGTGTGGCACTCACCTATTGTCAATCTTTGGAGAGATTTTAGTTTCCCAAACAATTGTACCTCTCTAAGAGCGTGGCAACCATATACGTACAAAGTTTTCAATGATTCTAGTTCCCCAAGCCCTTGAATTTTCATCAGCTTATGGCAAGAGACAAAACTCAATATCAACAAATTTTTCAAATTTGACAGATCGGTCAATCTTTCCAATAATTCACAATTTTCAAGCGATAATTCAACCAGAGTAAAAGGTAGCCCTAATATGCATTGAAGATCATGACATGTACGTATACCGAGAATTTTGAGCTGAGAAAGGGCACCAATCCCTTTGGGTAGGATCCTAATGTTGGAATTACTTAACTCCAATGCCTGCAATTTGGATAACTTCTCAATATCTCTAGGGAACTCCACATCCTCCCTCAAGCCGTCAAACTCCAGATTCTGTAAATTAACTAGATTTGCAACATTATTGGGGGTAACACGCAAATCTCTATCCTGGGACGCGTGGGACTTGACTTTGAGAATTTTTAAACTTGAGGGAAGATCTGGCACTACTTCGAGCTTTTCGCAGTAATCTAAGTCAAGGGTTTGGAGGTACAAGAGATCGCAAATGCTTGTTGGTAGGCTTTGAATTTTGGTATAACGAAACCTCAGGTGTCTAAAAGATGATGATCTCCCAATACAACTGGGGATGTTACACTTCAAATCCAGACAATATGAGGCATCTATAACTTCCAGCTTCTCCAAAATCCAAATTGCATCAGGTAACTTCTTTATTTTAGTCTGCGAAATGTTAAGCTCTCTCAAATTATCCAGATTACCAATGGACGGGTCAATTTCGGCCAATTTCGAACAGCATTCAAGAATCAATATCTCTAAACTTGCAAAAGATGAAAATTCGGGAGTTCTCCTTAAATCACAATTCGTAAGATTCAGAACTTTTAACTTATTCGCCACCTATAAAAAAAATATATAAAGATCAATTTACAAAACATATAAGATGGGAAACTATAAATGAAAGTAGGTTGAAATATTTCACAAACCTTGATTTGACTCCAACCCTCCCAGTTCTCTGTGATGGGACTATTTGCTAGGTCAAGAATGACTAGATTATTCATGTGAAAATTGGTTGCTTTGAAATGGCTAGGGCAGCGATACCAACGAAGCCATCTTAATTGTGACATAAGATGCTTAAAATCCCCAACAAGTTTAACGCCATTCATATGGAGATACCTTATATTAACAAGTTCTCTGAATTCCTTACTCGTATAAGGTATTGTAGGAGGTAAGAAATCATCATCGTGACTCGCATGGAGATACCTCTTAGCAGGTTCTCTCAATTCTCCAAATTCCCTAACAAGTTCTCTCAATTCCGGTATTGGACGAGGCATGAAATCATCATCATAATTATTAACAAGTTCTCTCCATACCTTACCCGTATAAGGTATTGTAGGTATGAAATCATCTATGATCTCATCAACCGTCAACTCTTCAGTCAAGTAATCAAGACTTAGGACCTCAATCTTTTCTGTTCCCTGTCAACAACAAACCAAACAGTAAGTAAATATGGAAGAACCAATTTGTGAGGTGCTAAAACAAAAAGAATTACGTATATTAGAAATTAATTGAAGTTAAAAAGAAAAAAGTATATATTTTAGTGAAATATTACCCTACGTTCCTTCAGTACATCCCCTGCTTCCTTTTGATCCCACAACCTGCTATGTGCTCCTTGATTCCTGAGATTTTCTTGACGAACGATTTCCCTACCAAGACCTCTAAGTTGATCATGCATCCTCAGCACATTATCAGCTTCCATTTTTACTAGAGACATGAGACGAAGGTCGTAAAGGTTCTTCTCTGGATAATAGCCACAGCTTTCCCACATGTAAGATGCAAAAGTTATTTTCATCCCTCTAAAAACACATGCAATATCCAGAAATATCTGTTTTTGCTCATGGGTTAATTCATCATAACTTATTCTTAACTTTTTTTGGACTTCATCATCTGGTATTTTCTCCAACTTCTTCAATGTAGCTTCCCATACCTTTTTCGGCTTGTCAAATAAATACGAACCTAAAACCTCAAGAGTTAGAGGAAGCCCAGCAGCTGTGGATGCAACTTCTCTAGAGATGTTGTCCAAGTCTTCTGGAGGAGACTCCCTTTTGAAAGCATGAATGCTTAAAAGTTGAAGAGATTGCTCAAGGTTCAAAAATTGTGGCTCGTAAACCTCATCAACTTGAATAGCGTTTAGAACATGTTTGTTTCTAGTTGTGACTATGATCCTACTTCCTTTACCATACCAATCACGCTTTCCCACAAGGCAATCAAAGTGAGACTTTTCATTCAAATCATCAAGAACAATGAGAACCTTATGTCTCAAGAATCTTTGTTTTATCTCATTAATTCCACTATTAACATCACTGATATTGTCCCCACGCAAATTTAAGGCATCCTTGAGAAGCTGTTTTTGCAAGCTAACAAGTCCCATGTATTGTTGTGCTTTTTCTCGAATATCGGTAAGGAAGCTACAACATTCAAAGCACTGGAAGAGCTTGTTGTAGATCCACTTTGCAATAGTTGTCTTGCCAATACCTCCCATACCATACATACCAACAATCTGTGTATCATTAGAACCAACCTTTAATAATCTCATCATTTTGTCTACATTATCATTGATTCCAACCAAGCTATCAGTTAAATCCATGCATTTCTTCTTCAACTCTAGCAAGACTGTTCGAACAACCATCATTACAAGTTCCCCTAGATGCCTGATTGATATCAAGGTAAAAAAAAACAGGAGAAATAATTAGTAGTAGAAAGAAGATGATTTCAATTTATGACCATCAATGTGATTGATTTAATGTATAGTTATTTTCAAAAAAAAAAAAAAATTGAAAAACCAATCAATTAATACTTATTTGAAGATATTTCAAGGACTAGCTAGTTGACGTACCAAACCAATCATCTTAAAATTCTTATTATATTTTTGTTCATTTGGACTGCCAAAAGGCCAAACGGGTGTCTTGACATAATTTTTGACTCAACAAGACCCTATTCTAATTGGAAACGGCCCAACTCACATAAGTCAGCAACTTTAGTGCTGAACTAGAACATTTTTTTTGGTCAAATTCTATCATTTAGGCTCCCCAATTTTGATTTCCCAATTTAAATATTTTTAAATTTTAGTTAACATCTAAATGGATTCAAATTCCTTTAAGTTTGGGTAATTAGTAGTTTTCAGTAATTAAGTTTCTCACCTTATTTTAAAGAAATTTCAGAGAAATTAAGTTTATTTTTTAGCAGTTTTCTTATACTGCAAGTTTCTTTATACATATATATATATATATATATATATATATATATATATATATATATATATATATATTCTTTTGCTGTTAAGGGATTATAAATAAATGTACGTCAGAAAGTACAAATCATTCATTGATTAATAATATATCAGATTGATATGCAATTTTCTCTTAAATTTTTTAATAGAAAGTTGTTCTTTTGTTCATAGCTTCCACTCCATCAATTGGTATTAGAGCCTTGTCTTACCCTAAACTGATGGTTGATGAACAAGGTGGTGGCAAGCTCGTTGGCAATCAACAGGGAGTGGCTCTTTTAAGGGTCGAATTTGATGATTTCTAATGCGAAACCTGACAGGCATTGCAAGATTATAGGTTGGTTCTAGAAATTACTTTTATTCATTGCGCTCTGCGCGGAATAAAGTAAAACAGCCTATAAACAATCTACCTTCCATTCCAACAGTACGTGATTCGGGTAGTACACAGTTGAATAATGCAATAACAGTTTCTGTAATGGGTCAGAAAGTGCCTAAAAATATTCCTTACAATTGGCCAGGCCAAGATAAGTGTTACTGTGTTAGTGATACAGACAGTTAGCACATTGATCTAACCAGTGTCCTAAGAGTAGTGCAATAAATCTAATAGAGCCTGAGGATGTAGAGGATCAAGGAAGGATGCTGAAGATGGATTGCTTTCCTACGATGATGAAAATGATGTGGTTCGTGAAGATGCTTGTGTGTGTGTGTGGGCTGGCGAAGGTTGCTGCTAGCCCCTAAAAAAGAGGAACATCTGTAAGGCACAATATATTCCGGACGAGGTGTATAGTTAATATAAAAGTCTGCAATGTTATTATTGATACTTGCAGTAATGAGAGCATTGTGTCAAGGATGATGGCCCAGTAGCTAGGGCTGAAAAATAGAGAAGAATCTGAGTCCCTATAAAATTGGCTAGAGTAAGAATGGGCCAGAAATAAGAGTGATGGATATTTGTAAATTTACCTTTTTGATTTGAAAAAAAAATGTTGATGAGGCATTATGTGACATGGTTGATATGGATATAATCACATGATTCTGGGCAGTCCATGGCAATTTGGTATCGATGCTACTCAAAAGGGTAGAGACAATGTTTATTTATTTGTCAAAGGTGGGAAAAAGATAATCCATGACAGAAGGCAGTTTTTCTAAGGCTTCTCAAGCTAAGGAATAATTATCCTTCTGATTTGTAGTTATCAGAAGTTTTTGGAGGAGGTCAAAGAGTCCGGTGAGATTTTGGCGTTGGTTGTTGGAGAAGACATACTCCTTCTATAGTCCCAACAGTTTACAACCCATGCCTAAAGAGTTCAAGGAGTTTTTTTTTAGGTGATCTCCCTAGTGGGCTATGCGAGGCATTTTGCACCACATTCATCTTGTGTCTAGTGCTAGTCTGCCGCATATACCGCAATATCGCATGAGCCCAAAGGAGAGTTGGATTTTGCGGGACCAAGTTAATGAGTTGATTCAGAAGGGGTTACTGCAAGAGAGTAATAGTCTTTGCATTGTTCTAGCTTTGTTAGAAGGATGACAGTGGCATATGCGTATAGACAATAAAGCCATCAATGAGATCAACATTAAATACCAATTTTTTATACCATGACTAAATGACGTGTTGGATATATTGACCGGTTCAAAAATATTTACTGATATTGATTCGAGGATAGACTATCATAATATTCACGTTAGATCGGAGGACGAATGAAAGACTCGAGACAAAGAAGGGTATGAGTGGCCAGTGATGACGTGTGGATGGTCTCTTATGAATCAAGTATTAAAACCATTCATTGGCAGATTCGTTGTTATCTATGTTGATGATATCTTGATTTATAGTCAGTCAAAATCGGAGCATATGTCGCACTTGAGAGAGGTACTAACAGTTCTTCAAAAATGTAACCTATACAATAATCTGAAAAAGTGCAGCTTTATGATAAGAAGTTTGTTATTTTTTGGGTGATGAGTGTTGAAGGAATTCGAGTTGATGAGGAGAAAGTTTGAGCAATTGGAGGGTGGCCCACTCTGAAAGCAATAGGCGATGTGCATAAAATTCCATCGTTTATCGACATTTTATTGAAGGTTTATCGAAAACTTCAGTAGTATAGTTGCTTCTATTACTAAATGCATAAAGAAGGGAAAGTTTTAGCAGTGTGAAGAAACCAAACAGTTATAGGAATTTGGTGATGTTCAATCCCAATAGCTCATACCAGTTGGATTCTATAGTGAGAAGTTTAGTGATGCCAGAAAAAGTGGACTACCAAGTACCAATGAGCATGAACTCTATATAGTGGTATGTGCACTGAAGGTTTAGGAACATTATTTGGTTCAGAGCGAGTTCATTATATACACTGATCAAAAAGCTTTGAAGTTCATCAAAAGTCATAATAGAGTTAGCCGAATGCATATCTGATGGGTTGTCTTTCTACAACAATTTACCTTATCTGTAAGGAAACCAATGCAATCAGCAGAACAGAATCTCTCCTGGTGACTTTACGAGTTGAAGTTGTTGGGCTTGGTTGTCTGAAAGAGCTGTATGAAATAAATGATGACTTCAAGGAATTATGGGCTAAGTGTTAAACTTGGCAGGCAAACCGAGTGTATGCAAATACAAGAAGGGTTGTTACTTTGAGGTAATTATCTTTGTACTCCGAGGAGTTCCCTACGAGTGCAGATTATCTATGAATTGCTTGGTGGCGGTTTGGAGGAATACTTGGGCAAGATTACACCCATAGATTTGGTCCAAGAACGATATTATTGGCCACTACTAAAGAGAGATGTTGGGAACCATATGAAGAGATGTTCGATTTGTTAGGCTACAACGGTTCAGTCTTAAAACACTAACCTTTACCTAGGTCTCCCTAAACCAGACTTTCTTTGGGACGATCTATCCATAGATTGTCTTAGGACTTTCATGCAGTCAGCGAGGGGCAAATTCAGTTTTTTGTGGAGGTTGATCGTTATTTGAAGATGTTACACTTAATAGCTTGCAAGAGGACCTTAGATGCCACACACGTAGCTAATCTATTTTTCAAGGAGGTCGTTGCCTACATGGAGTTCCTAAATCCATCACTTCAAATAGGGACACCAAATTCCTATCACACTTTTAGCGGACTTTGCGTGGCATTTGATGCATCTTTGAATTTCAGTAGCACCAGTAATCCACAATATGGTAGTTAGACAAAAGTGGTTAATCAGACTTTAGTGAATCCCATTTGGTGTATTTTGGGCAAAAAACCAAAATAGTGGAATCTTGCATTGGCACGAACAGAATTTGTATACAACAACATGGTTTATCGGTCAACTCAAAGGTTATATTTTGCTACTTTTTATTGTCATCTGCCAAGACATGCGCTGGATTTGGTTCCACTACTAAAGTTACTTAGAAAGAATGTTGTTGCGAAACATACGAGAGATCTCATCAAAGCAATTCAGGATGACATTCAGAAGAATCTTGAAGAAGATAATGCAAAATACTAGGAAGCAACAGACAATAAGATAGCAAGAAGGTCTTCAACAAGGCATTTAGTTATTGTATATCTGCGCAAGGATAGGATTCCTATTGGCACCTACAACTAGGGGTGGCAAATTACAACACGACACGACTTAAAAGGGTTTGGGTTTGGCATAAACGGGTTTGGGTCATAAAAGGGTCAACACGATTAACTCGTTTACTTAACCGTGTCGGGTTAGGATTGAGGGGTTCAACCGGTATAACCCGTTTATGACCCATTTAACTCAACATGTTACTGTATAATCGTGAATATGACCTATATAATATGTTACCTGTTTAAACCCAATTACTATGGATAGTTAAGTCATTCTAACATAAACATTTTATGTGTTATGATTTTTCTTTTTATTTTGAATATTTGGGTTAATTATGACAATTTTTTTTCTATTATTTAGTATTTGATTAAATATTAAATGTCTCGTTTTGATAAACAAGTCATTAAACGGGTTAATTCGTTTACCTGTTTAATAAACGAGTTGGGTTAGTGTTGAGGATTCTTGACACGATTATTAAATGGGTTGGGTTTGGGTTTAACTATTTAGTATAATATTCTTACATCGACACGACACGAACACGAATTGCCACCCCTACCTACAACGTACTGAACGATAAAAAATATGGAGCATATCAGAATTTGAAGAACATAAATGATAGTGTTTATGTTGTTGAACTTCTTAAAGACAAAACTATTTCTCCTACATTTATTGTTGCAGATTTATTTGAGTATTTTTAGCCAAATGAGATGTGATCTTTTAGTTTTAATTTGAGGATGAGTTCTGTTCAGGTAGGGGAGACTGATGTAGAACTGATTGTTAAGACTGTATGGCTTGTTTGGACTGCCAAAAGGCCAAACGAACAAGTTAACATAGTTTTTCAGAGCAATTTTGAAGAACCAATTTTGACCCGTTAAGACCCTATTCCAATTGGAAATGGCTCAACTTGCATAATCAGGGCGCTTTGCTGTTGATGCGGGGCTTTTTTTGGCCCAAATTCTATCGTTTAGGCCTGTGAATTGTGTTTTCCAATTTTTTAATATTTCGGGATTTTTGTCATAAATCCAATTAAAACAATTCGAATTCCTTTAATTTCTTGTAATTGGTAGTTTTTAGTAATTAGGTGCCTATCTTTATTGTTTTAGAATTTTCAAAGAAAGTTTAATTTTGAGCATTTTCCTTAAACTGCTAGTATCCTTATATTTTTTAGGTTTTGAGTTGTTTGTGTTTCTTCATTATAAATAAATGTACTAGAGAGAGCAAAATTCATTTCATAATTAACAACTCTACAATTTTCTCTTTAACTGGTGGATTCAAATTTGTTCTTTATTCACTCTCTCATTGTTCCTGTCCTATTTTGATTTGTAATATTAATCCCACCCATTGCTTAAAGCTTCTTGGTGTTTTATTTGATTTAATGATTTCTTGAAGTTATTTCTTGATATTTTTATTTTTAAGAAACATGGTTACAAATACAGGATACAGATACAATACGACGGGTACGATGATACAGCAAATCTAAAAAATACGAGAAAATATTAAATACCTCGGAGGTATGGTACATCCGGGATCATCCCAGCCCTTGCATGTGGTGGGGCCCATCACCCCGTCCATGATCCAATAGCTTCCACTATCCCGGGGGTACCATACCCTCGGGGTATTTAATACTTTCTCCAAAACAACATAAGAGTACGGCAACAATAAAACAATAGAAAATAAAAAATTATATATGTATATATATATATATATCATCAATGAGTTTTTGTTCCTTTTTTATACTATTATGGATCTAAAAACATTATACAATATAACATAGGAATATATATCAATAGTTATTTTGCAAATTAATTACGAAATACATCTCAATATATTTTTAAAAAATTTCTTAACAATTATAATATGATATTATTGTTGTAAAATTTATATTTTAATATTCAAAACTTATTAAAAATGCATTTTGGAGTATTTGAGGAGTATTGGATACGTGGTCGAAATATTTGGCGAAGTATCTAAAAAGTATTCTATAAGTATCGGATACGTGTTAAAAATAAAAAATAAAATTATTTTAAAATTATGGATACATTTAGAAAGTGTCGATCAAGTATCCGCAAGTATCCAATGAGTGTCGGTATCGGATATGGACACGATATCGTTGCGTCACCCATGTAGAAGTATAAGTGCTTCCTAGAAAGCTTTAGACGACTTATGCAGTTGCCTTAGGCCCAGCCAATAGGAAGGCTCCAAAATTTTAAAATTTTCTTATAGAAGATATACTATAATTATATCCTAATATTATTATTAATCAATACAAAAATTTAATATTAGGCCCCAAAGATTTAGATCTTAAAATAACTTCTTCTTTTTTTCCCTCTTTTCTCTTTCCTCCCTCATTTGGTTTTTTAATTAAACTCAAACTAATACAGAAATTTAATATAATATTAGGCCCCAAAAATCTATATCCTTATATGACTTTTTTTTTTTCCTCTGTCCTCCTCATTCACGTTATTTATTTATTTATTAACCTTAATCAATACAGAATTTAATATTGGGCCTAAAAATTTATATCATTTAAATAACTTCCACTTTTTTTTCTTTTTTCTCTCTCATTCACATTTTTTACACAAGCACTAAAAAAATATTTCTCAAAGTTATACCAACAATAAAATATTAAATATGTATTCAACCGTTGTTATTTGGGGAAGTAGCAAAAACTTTTCATATTCTTTTTCTAGATTTTATCTTCTTCTTTTTCTTATTTCTCATGAACTTTCTCTCATCTTTCAACAAGTCGTCTTCTCTCTCTCTCATTATAAGTTTACAGTTCTCTTTCTTCTCCACTCAATACTCATTACTCTTAATTTTAATTTGAATGCACTTTTATTATATTGAAGAATTTGTAGGAGCATTTCTAAATCAGGTTCTTTAATTATTTTTTAGTTTTATTAAATTTTGTTATTATAAATTTATACATATATATATATATTGGATATATTTTGTTTGTGAGTAGTCACTATTTTTACTTATATTATTGAAAATGCCAATTTTAATTTTTTGCCTAAGGTCCCAAATTACTTCAAGCAACCCTTAACCTTAGACTACAAAGCTGTAATGACCCGATCATTTTCCTTCCTTTCCCTTTTTTCCATTTTTACGGATTAATTTTTTTTCATTGAAATTTCCTTTCGCGTAACCTCACTCTTCGTGCACGGAGTTGGTTTTTGACTCCACGTACTTTCATTCTTGTTGGTTTCCTTGAAAAGTGTAACTTTACTTTTGGAGAAAGATCGCCGGTCGTTTTTTTTTCCCCGCAGGGGCGTGGATGAAAAGATTCTTTAGAAGTATTTTCGGTTCTTGGAATGTTTTTCATAAATATCTTTTGAAAATATTTTGATTTGGGGGTTTTTAAGACAATATCTTTTGGAAGATATTTTCATTTGGGTCACTTGCGCAGTTATCTTTTTTTGTCAGGGCCTTTGTGCAATTAATTAAAGTTAATTGCGAAGTGTCTTCTTGGGGCTTAAATCCTCATACGGGATTCATTTTCACATTTCGTCGAGTAGTGTACTCTTAGAATTGTCTTCCGGACGTTTTCCCCAGTTTTAGGGTTTTTGGCCCGATTAGCGCCAAACTTGTTCGGGGCATATCTCTCTACTCAAAACTCGGTTTTTGACGTCATTTCTTCCGTTGTTCATTTTTTCTCATTTTGGTTCTTTTCGTTCACAGTGTTTTGTCGTTTGAGCGCGTTTGCTCAAATTCCACTTTTCCGGACCCAGCACGGCCCCTTCAGGGCACTTTTAGGGTTTTTCTATAAATAAGGGGTTCTAAAATGAAAAGTCAAACCATTTCATCTCTTTCCCCTCTCTTGGCCGGCATCCATGGGCTGCCACCTTCTCTCTTCCCTTTTGAACCCTTTCCCTTTAGTAAAATGCCGTGGTGCCTTAGGCTTTAATGTTCGCCTTGACGAGGCCTTCGATTCTAACCGATTGAAATCCCGTTTTGGCCATTTTTTGAGTTCGGGTTTGAAGCCAAGTTAGGATTTTGGTGTGACCTCCTTGGGGTTTCAACAAAACCCCGAAATATCGTCGGATTTTTGCGGGTTCCATTTGGTGGCTTTTGAGATTTTCATCTCAAATTGAGGTAGGGGTTGTCTTAGGCTTATATAAATGTTGTATTGATTGGTTCATAAGCATATACAACTTGTAAGCATGCCTTTGTTCAAGTTTTAGAATTTAATTTAATTATTTTCTATGTATAAGATTTAATTCTCATGGTTGCGTATAGCATATAATTAAATTGTGGCATGCTAGTACATTAGACATTGATATGTTCTTTGACATATATTAAATTGGGAGTATTGAATAAGTATTGCAACTTTTATTTAATAATTTTCTTTAATGAAAATTTAATTCACATGGTTATAACTAACATGAAATCAACTTGTAATGTGATATTAAAATAGGCCTTGGTATGTTCTTTAACCTATATTAATTTGAGAGCATTTGGATAAGTTTAGAAATCTAGAGATTTTAAATTAAATGAATTAATTAAAATCTATTTAAAGTTTCCATTGATTTGATTGAGTTTTTAACTTGATAATGGTAATAACTAGGACTTGTTCACTAGTATTGAATTAATTAAAATCTATTTAAAGTTTCCATTGATTTGATTGAGTTTTTAACTTGATAATGGTAATAACTAGGACTTGTTCACTAGTATATGTCAATTTGGGGCCATTTGGAGTTGCTTTAGAATTTAGAGATTTAATTACCGTATTTTAATTAAATTCTATTTTGTTGTTCTAATGAGTTAATTTAGTTTTGAGTTGGTTTATATAATGACTATGCTATGTTGTTTAACATATGTTAATTAGGGATTGTTTAGATGAGGTCGTGTTTTCGATATTGAAATGATATTATCATAGCTTGTAAAGAATCACACATTGAAGATTCGACATTGTGAAGGTCATTGTAAACTTGAAACTCTAGGACATGGTTTGTGTGGATTCAACCTTACTTGTGCATGAAAATTGATTCCTATACATTATTTGAGTTTATATAGGTTTGGTCTAACTTATTGATTTTTGCATAAGTTTTGAACTTATTGATTTTGGAAGGCTTGTAAGGAAAATATACATGTGATGGCTAGAGTTTGGCTCTAGTACGGCGACGAGCTTCCTTAGTCATATGAAGTGCGTACTAGGTAGTACCTTGTGGGTTGTAATTGCCCAGAATAACTTATACACGTGCTCACTAAGTAGTTCCTTGTGGGTCGTAATTGCCTAGAATAACTTGCTTGGTCAGTAACCAAGTATCCTAGTCTTTCCACTATCTGATTTTACATTAAATTCCAAGTAGTTAATCATGGATTACTTGTAGCTTGTGAATTGGTACTTGCCTTGCAATTTGGATCTCATTTAATATACTTGACACTGTATAGTTGCTTCGTGCAGTTAGATCTCATTTAGTATACTTGAAAATGTATACTTGCTTCGTGTATTTAGATCTCATTTAGCATACTTGAACTTGTATCCTTGTTTGTGTATCTAAACTTTATTTAGTATACTTACGCCTTGTATGTTTGATTTGTGTAATCGGATCTCACTTTAGTATACTCGTGCCGTGTATATTTGTCTCATGCATAATTCATTTAGCTTAGTATACTTGTGTTCGTATACTTGATTTACGAGCTTTCCATATTAATTGTATACTTGTATAGGTATACTTAGACATTGCATAACTTGTTTTGATATAGTTTAATATACTTAAAAGTTTATGCTTGTATGTTGTATATCGTGTTTTTACATCGTTTTTGTATACTTGATGCATGTATACTTGTATGCCGTAGTTCATTTCAATTGTATGAGTAGCTTGAGATGATCCTTTGAATTGTTTCATGTTAATGTGTTAACTTTGTAAAAAGTTACGTCTATGCATGCTCATTCCCTACGAGTAACTTGTTTACTCACCCCAAAGTTATTGAGTTATTTTTCAGGTACAGATACCTTGATTCGGGATGCACAACGTCCCTAGATCATTTCGTTGGATTGAAGTTCTTTAAAATGTATTCTTATTCACATGTAAATGTTAGCATGTTTGCGTTTTACTTTTCAAGTTATAATACATAGTTAGGTTAAAAATGTCATTTTTACCTTGAAATTTGTAATGTGTGCCTAATGTCACGCCCCGCCTATGGAGGTTACGCCACGCAGGCACTGAGTAGGACGCTGCATGGCAGCTGTATGGCAAGTGAAGTTTCTAGAGTCTTCCGAAATTGTCTAGTATTGTGTGGAAGATTATAGTTATGTGTAGTATAGTCTAGAGTTCTCCAGAATTGTGAGGAGTAGTATGGAGAGTTCTAGAATGTTGTAGATACTTGTGGATAAGTATGGAAGTGTGAAGAAGGTGGGAGAAGATTCTAGAAAATCGATCTCCACCTTTGGTTAGAATGCATCCTAGCCATCCATTAGGGATGGGGATGCCTATAAATAGGAGTAGGACTTCATTTTGCAGCCAACAAGTCCTAGAGTGAGTCTTGAGAGCCTTGTAGAGAGTTTGAGTGCTAGCCTTGTACAAAACATTCTTTGAAGTAATAGAAGTGTTCTTTCCTTGCCAACTTAAGTGCCTTAGTGTGTGTGAGTGTGCAAGCCAAATGAAGAGAGGGCGAGGGTCACTACAACACTAGTAAGCGCACGAGGGGAGCGTGTTGGTTAAGGTGTGCACGGGAGTTAGGCTGACTAAGTACTTGCGAGAGTAGAAGCAACGTCTTGGTGCCGCACGGGAGTAGCTAGAGTGGTGTTGAAACTCTAAGCCCGTAACACTAAGCACACTTTTTAACATCCATTTTATGTATATGATATGTGGCCAAGAGCTAAACTTTATTTGAAATCCATGTATATTTAAAAAATGTAGAAATTTGTCTTTAATGAGAATAATATGAAAAACTAGGGTTTTAATATATCATCTTTGCACTGGAGTGTGAATTGTGTATGAAATTCATTATTAGGCATTCATTTACCATGTATGAGGTGTGGCCAAGGGCCAAATACCATTTTGTTTTAGGTTTTGCATTTTGGTTTCATATATTGCATTTTTGGGCTAAAAATAGAAAAATTCGAGTCTTTAAGGGTTCCTTTCCAAATCGGGTGGTGCAAAGTGTGCACGAGCACATCCACTAGGTCTTATTTAATATGCATAAAGTGTGGCCAATGGCCAAACAGTCATTTGATTGCATTTAAGTACAGTTATTGCATTTTTGCCTTTAAAGGGCATTTTTCCATGCATTGGGGTTTGGATAGGTCAAATTTTGCATCAACGGTATTTTTAAGCTGTGGATCATTGTAGCACGTCTTAATAGGTAAGTTACGTCTGCGTGCATGATCGTTTTCATGAAAAACTCTTTCGTTGGTGAAATGAGCCTCCGATAGACTCATTTCACATTTTTCTTGCAAAATCCGGTTAAAGGGCATTTTGGGATTTTCTTTCGGGAAATAAATTCCGGTCATAACTCCGTCACATAGAAAATGTGATTTTAAGGCGAGTTTTTTCACGGCATTTTTCCGAATAATGTCGTCTTGGTCTTGAAAACCCCTCGTCGGTTCCATTTTTTTGGTTTTCTACTGTTTGGGTTCAATGCAGATTGGGTTGAACCGGTTCAAAGGGGCTGAACTGGTTCAAGGTGTGTTTTTGGGTCCAACTGGTTCAGGAATGCTGAACCGGTTCAAGTCTCCCAAAACCTTTTCTATAGGTTCAGCTTTGGCCTTCCAACTTCGAACTGTTATAACTGTTTCGTTTTAACTCCGAATTAGTCCGTTCTCGAGTTTAAACGGACCGCGTCGAAGTAAGCTTTCCAATAGTATAAATTTCAGTTTCAAATTCTTCTCCTAGCTCGAGATATCCTTATTTTAGTGAGAGGGTATCAGATTTGGTTCGAACCGGGATAGGGTTCTTTTGGGTTTTCTCTTCTTTTGGCCTTGGGACTTCACGTGAAGTTACCAAATGATGTTTTTGGACATTTTTTTTTTTATTTTTTATTTTATCTAATTTGACTTGTTGGAAGTCAAATACCTACCTCTTAGGGTAAAATAACCATTTTATCTTTGGTCCTTCTCTTGTAGGGTTTTGATACCCTTGGCTCCGTTTTGCTTCCATTGAGTGTCAAAACTCCTCGGAAGGTTACTCTTGTGTCTTAAGGATGACATACATTTCTAAAAACCTTGTTTATGTTCTACCTTCTGCATTTTAGATCCGTTTTGGGTCATTACAGGACACACTGGGTCTGTAAAATCCAGGGTCGTCACAAAAGCACGGACACTTCTATAAAGGAGCAGTATTCGTGTCGTGTCTATGTCGGATACCTCGAACACGTGTCTGACACTTCTTATACATGTTCATAAATAAAAATTAAATATTTTTATTTTGAACACTTCGCCGACAATTTCTAGAAACTTAAACCGACACTTTTTAACATTTGTAAAACAAAGTATAACTGATTATCTTGAAATAATATGAATACATTCTAAAGTATTCAACTTTTCTCTATAAAAAATATTAGCATTACACATATGATCATAAGTGAAGCATAAAATGATATTTGTTTATTTAAAACAATAATATTATTATGATAAAGTAGTAGAACATCCACACACACACACACACACACACACACATATATATATATATATATATATTATAAAAGTCATTACAACAAGGACATAATTTAATTTTTAAATCATTTCAAACCAACCCTTAATATAGAAATTAAAAATGAATTAAAATTTTATACGAAGTAATAATATTACCCAATAAATGTATATAAATAAAAATTTTGATTGTCAATATATTCTGTCCACGTTCGTTCTACATACGTACACTAAAATAAGTATTTTTTTTTTTTATATTTATATATAGCCGGGTCGAAACCCTGCCCTATTTTTAGAAAATTTTGATTGTCAATATATTCCGTCCACGTTTCCGTCCACGTTCGTGTTACATGGGTACACTAAAATAAGCAATTTTATCTTTTTTTTTAAAAAATAAATAAATAAATAAAACAGTAAATAAGCACTTGAGTAGGATAAATATTGACTTAACATACCCATCAGCTTCTTTCTCGACTACCCAACCCTTGAGTGCTCCAACCTCTGTCAATGACTCCTTCCATTCCTTTACAGTACTTTCAAGAAAACAACTCTCGTGCTTGCGGAAGGCCTCCTCGTAACTCCCAGATTGATGCCGAACCTCAAATGGTTCAACATCATAGAAGATGGGTAGAATCAGTTGCCTTGTAGTTCTCTTACACTCCACCATCCGGACGAGCTCATGGAGGCACCATTTACTAGATGCGTAACCTTTGGAAAAAATTGGGATTGAGATCTTCGATTGAGTGATCGCCTGGTGTAGCTCTGGCCCAATCTCTTTACCTTCACGAAGACCATTATTGTCTCGAAATGTACGAACTCCTGCACCTTCGAGACTTGTGTACAGGTAATCGGTGAAGGTTTTGCGAGTGTCTGGGCCTCTAAAACTCAAAAAGACGTCGTATTCACCACCTACAAGGGTCGTGGATGAAGGGTTGAAAGCAGTACTCGTGCTTGTCTCAGAATCCATTTCAAAAGCAAAACGAGAAGCTCAGTTTCTCTCTCTGTCTGAGTATCTAAGTTTGGTGGGAACTGGAAGCGTGCTCCGGCCACCGCACGTACAAGAACCGATGAAGCCTCACCTATGCAAACAACGACGGAAAAATCAGATCAGTTTCTTACTGTGACGACACAACTTGCGATAGCCACCGGCGACCCAACAACGCGCACAACGATGACAATCTGAAATTTCACTATCGAAAAAAATATATATAGATGGAAGCCAACACACCTTAACTCCGCTCTTCGGCGTCGATCTCGCGTGCTCCGGCCACGCGAAATTAATAGATCATCCAAGAGTTATAGCTTTGGAAGAGAGATCTGTTCACCCAACAAATTAGTGAGAGAGATGGTAGGGAAAGGACTATAAAAACCAAATTAAGTATCCAAAAAAAATAGATTCAGTCACCGAACAAGACTCCGGCGCCGACACCACCATCGATCGATTGGACAATTGATCTTGACACTCCTGAGCTCAAATCTGGCATTCCGGGCACCGTTGCTTGCACCTATAGTACGCCGACGAAGCTGGAGAGAAAAAGAGAGAGGAGGGGAAAGAAGACCCAAAAGATGGAGGTGAGAGGTCAGAGAGAGAGAGAGAGGAGAGATAGGAAGATTAATGGATTGCCTGCGCTTTTTTTTTGAGAGGAGGGGAAAGAAGACCCAAAAGATGGAGGTGAGAGGTCAGAGAGAGAGAGAGGAGAGATGGGAAGATGAATGGATTGCACGCGCTTCCGCCTAGGATTCTGCCTAACAATGAGTGTTCATTCAAATATTTTATGTGGTAATCGTTGAGCACGAGTTACACGCATCCATGATTTCAAAATATTTTAGTACAGTATTTAGTTTCTCCAAATTCATTATCTTCCTTAATTATCTCTTTATCCATTCAGTGGAATCTAAACTTTTCATAGTTAGATTATTGTTGAAATAACTCTATTCCGCTAGAATGATTTATTCTTTATTGTTGTACGCCTCTAATAATGTCTAGAGGGAAAACTTTTAACATAAAAAGTTGAGGACAACATGAGGCATCTATAACTTCCAGCTTCTCCAACATCTAAATTGTATCAGGTAACTTCTTTATTTTAGTCCAAGAAATGTTAAGCTCTCTCAAATTATTCAGCTTGCCAATGGATGGGTCAATTTCGAGTAAATTCCCACAGTGACCAAGAATCAATATCTCTATATGATAGGTCAAGAATGACTAGATTATTCGTGTGAAAATTGGTTGCTTCGAAATGGTGAGGGCAACGATGCCAATGAAGCCATCTTAATTGTGACATAAGATGCTTAAAATCCCCAACAAATTTTCCACCATCTATTTGGAAATACCTTAAATTAAAGAGTTTTGTGAATTCCATACTTGTAAAAGGTAGCTCCTTATCCAAGTGATCAAGACTTAGGACCTCAACCTTTTCTGTTTCCTGTCAACAACAACCAAACAATAAGAAAATATTGAAGAACCAATAAGAGAGGTGCTAAAACAAAAAATTATGACCATTAGAAATTAATTGAACCTTCTTAGTTAAAAAGAAAAAAGTACATATTTTTATTGACTTCTAAAACAATTAATAATAATAAATGGTTTAGAGATCATTTCAGCTTTACCGAAACAAAAATTTAAATGAAAAATGATGCACTAATTTTTCTAACAAAATAGACATGGTTAGTTTTGGTTGGCTTTCACTCGAGGACAAATTAAATTGAGGTAGCTAAAACTTCAATTTAAAAGCCCTTCAAATATCATTATGGAGAACCAGGTAGTTTCCTTTTTGGCGCTCATGTGGATGCCACCATTGAAATCACTTGTGTGATGGTTTTTGTATTACGAGATTGTCATGATGGAGGGTCAAGAAAAAATTAATTAATCAAATAAGGGGCATAAAATTTAGTTAACTGAAATATTACCCTACATTCCTTTAGTACACCCCTTGCTTCCTCCTGATCCCACAACCAGCTACGTGCTCCTGGATTTCCAAAATTTTCTTGATGAATGATTTCCCTGCCTAGACCTTTAAGTTGATCATGCATCCTTAATACATTATCATCTCCAATTTTAACTAGAGACATGAGACAAAGGTCATAAAGTTCCTTCTCTGAATAATAGCTACAGTTATTCCACATGTAAGATGCATAAGTTTTTTCCATTCCTGTCAAAAGACATGCAATATCGAGAAATATCTGTTTTTGTTCATGGGTTAATTCATCATAACTTATTCTCAACTTTTTTTGGACTTGATCATCTGGTATTTTCTCCAACTTCTTCAATGTAGCTTCCCATACCTTTTCCGGCTTGTTAGATAAATACGAACCTATAACCTCAAGAGTTAAAGGTAGCCCTACGGCTGTGGATGCGAGTTCTCCAGAGATGCTTTCGAAGTCTTCTGGAGGAGACTTTGTTTTGAAAGCATGAATGCTTAAAAGTTGAAGAGATTGCACAAGGTTCAAAATTTGTGGTTTGTAAGCCTCATCAACTTGAAGAGCGTTTAGAACATATTTGTTTCTAGTTGTGACTATGATCCTGCTTCCTTTACAATACCAATCACGCTTTCCCACAAGGCAATCATAGTGAGACTTTTCATTCAAATCATCAAGAACAATGAGAACCTTCTTTATGAGAAATTTGTGTTTTATCTTGTTAATTCCACTATTAACATCACTAATATTGTCACATTGCAAATTTAAGGTGTCCTTGAGAAGCTGCTTTTGCAAACTAACAAGACCTGTGTATTGTTGAGCTTTTTCTCGAATATCCACAAGGAAGCTTGAAGACACCAAAGTGACCCGGGCTTGGTATGATTCATATTGCTAAGAATGGGTCGGGTATGGGCAACGAAGATGGAGCAAGTCCTCGCTGAATGGGTCCAGGTTCAGGAAGTCATTAAGGAAGCCCACATTGTGATGAAAGGAGTTGGGCCCAAGCAAAAGGAAAGAAGATAGGTCCAGCCCAGGAGTGATTGTAACCATCTATAAATAGACGGAAATGAGAGGGAAAAGCAGTTGGAAAATATTTTGGAAGTGTAAAGTTTCTCTCTCTAGAATTGGGGAAAATTCTTTGTACTTTCAATTGGCGCCGTCTGTGGGAAGAACGATGAGGATTGATTGGTGTTGATCCAAATCGATTCGATTTAGAGCAGTTTGCGAAGAAGGCGCTAGATCTCTGAAAGTTGAATCAAGATTGATGAAATTGTGATCTATCTTGATGAATCTCGGTTCCAGTTGATTTTGAGAGGTTGGCGTCTGATCTAAGCAGGTCTGATCTGTGCTTGTTCCGGTGAGCTGCGCAGTTGTGACTTGTTGAGATTGTCGAATTCGGTAAGCTCGTAGCTGAAGTAATTCAATCCGGCCAGTAACAAATAGAATTCAACAAGTTTGAGTCCAGATCTGGTGCGTTTGCATTAGCAAAGCTCAGATCTGATCAAGAAATCCGTGGTTAATGACTTTGCTCTGATCAGGAATGATGATCGGAGATTAGAGCTCAAATCCCTTGGAAAATGGCCAGCAGTTGAAGCTCGATGAGTTGATGAACATGATCGAAGTCCTGAGAAAAGAAAATGCAGAATTGCGAGTTAGAATGGAGCATCGTGAAGCTCCTACTATTCCGAGGCCACCTCCGGTAGGAGAGGGAGTCTTGCCGTTCAATGCTGTTCATCAAGGTGATCCAGAAGGTGTCAATCGCGTGGATCCTCGTCGTGATGAAGTTTTAGTAGGCGATCTACCTCCAAATGTCCGTCAAGTAGAGGATCGAGAGGGATCTATTCATTTGGAGCCACACCGCGAACGGATCATGCGAGATGAAGCGCCGATGTACGATCATAGGGCTACATCACCGTGGCAAAGTGAGTTTGCGGAGGACCAGATCGTTTGATCCACCCTATTAACCTTCAATGGCAACATTTGATTACCGCAGTTCAGAAAGGAGATCTGCCGATCAGGGAGTTCCATCACGGTTTTCAAGGGAGAACGAAGCACTGCGCTCATCAACAAGGACGGTTGCATCTCCGTTCACTGATGAAATCCTAAACGCTCCAAATCCGAAGAAGTTTTCCATGCCGATCTTCATTCTGTTTAATAGAACAACTGACCCGGTCGACCACATCTACCACATTCAGTTGAAAATGGCTTTGAATACTAACAATGATCCTTTGATGTGCAAATGCTTCCCTACAAGTTTGGCTGGGCCAGCCCTCAATTGGTTTAAGAATTTGGCTCAAGGTTCAATTGCTAGTTTCCAGGACTCGTGTGACAAGTTCATAAGCCAGTACTATGGAAATAAACGCCCGGCTAAGGATGTTTCAAGCCTTTTCACAATGAAGCAGCATGAAGATGAACGACTCCAAGCTTTCCTCACCTGGTTCAACCTTGTCAAAAGCATGGTAATGGAATGTCATCCGTCCATAGTGGTCCAAGCGTTTAAACTTGCAATGAACTGAGGGACACCGTTTCACACAAGCCTGGTGGTGAATACGCCGAAGACCATGGACGAGCAATGAGAGAGCTGACAGTTTTGTGCGTCTGGAAGAAGAAGAGTCAGCTAATGCAAGGAAGACATCAATTATTTCAACAGAAGAGAAGTCCAAAGCCAAGATCCGGCAAAAACAAGTTCAGCCACAATATTAGACCTCCTGGAAGGTAAAGAAAAAGCCCAGAGAGGAGGAGTTGGTTACTCCACTCAGAGTTACCCTGGCAAAGCTGTATCAAGAGAACAAAGATAAGTTTCGCCCTCCCTTACCAATCACACAACCTCTTGAACAGAGGGATCAAACTAAACATTATGCTTTCTATAGTGACTTTGGACATCAGACTAATGAATGCAGGAACCTAAGGAGGCAGGTGGAGATGCTGATCGCAAAGGGGGAATTTGCAGGATATGTTCAAGGTCCGGCGCAAGAGCAGAACCGACCGGCTGAGCAGATCAAGAGAAATCAGAAGCCGAATCACCACAGCACTCAGCCCGTTCGGATTATAAATGCAATTCATGGCCGACCTGAACAATTAGCAGAGTCAGAGGAGCTGTTCAGAAAGCGATTACGCCAGGCCCAGATGAAGAGAAGGATTGGCAGTGTACATTCTTTGCATCAGCATAACGCATCGGCACAGATAAAGTTTGACAGAATAGACCTGCTATTTGTTCAGGTTCCTCATGAAGATCCACTGGTCGTCAGTCTGACAGTTGCAGAATGCCTGGTACGAAGAGTTCTGATTGATCTAGGAAGTAGTACAAATGTCATGCCCAGAATAACGTTCGACCAGCTCGAGATCGAACCCGGGAAACTTAAACCCACAGGAAATCCATTGCTAGGATTTGATAGGAAGCGGGTGGAGCCCATTGGTATGGTGGAATTGACAGTAAAAGCTGCTGAGAGAGTTTTGACTGAGAGTTTTGTGGTCGTAGAAATTCATCCATCTTACAACCTCTTGATGGGAAGAAAGTGGATTCACAGAGTTCAGGGTGTCCCATCAACCCTATACCAAGTGATGCGATGCTTGGGTCCAGATGGGACCAAGGTGATTAACATTCATGGGGACCAGGTTGCAGCTAAAGAATGTTATTCAGTGACTTTGAAATCTGCTGGAAAGGGGAAAATTCCCATCCATTCTGCAAGTCCAAGATAACAATTACAAGAACCTCCACCCAACAAAAGTGGGGAGGAGGAGCCGCCAGTTCTGACTACAGAACCTCTTCTTGATCTGCAGATTGACCATAAGAAGCCGGACCAAACAATGAGGGTAGGATCCAGAGTTGTTAAAGGGGAGAAACAAGTTGATTGATTTTTTGACTCAAAATGTAGATGTGTTCGTGTGGAGCCATTCAGACATGCCAGGAATTAGTCCTTCTGTGTCCTATCATTCCCTCAATATAGATCCGAATGCAAAGCCTGTGAAGCAGAAGCAGAGAAGATTTGCTCCAGAACGCAATCGAATCATAGCTGAGGAGATTGATCGGTTGCTTGAGGTAGGATTCATTAGAGAGGTTTAATACCCGGCCTGGCTCTCTAATGTCGTTGTTGTGCAGAAAAAGAATGAGAAATGGAGAGTATGTATTGACTTTACTAATCTGAACAAAGCTTGCCCAAAGGATAGCTTCCCATTGCCAAGGATTGATCAAATGGTGGATGCCATTACTGGGTACGAGCGATTAACCTTCCTAGATAATTACTCAGGTTATAATCAAATCCCCATGGACCCGATTGATGAAGAGAAAACTTCTTTTGTTACCGAACGTGGGACCTACTGCTACAAAGTCATGCCGTTCGGATTAAAGAATGCTGGAGCTACTTATCAAAGGCTAATCAGCAAAATTTTCAAAAGTCAAATGGGGAGAACTGTAGAGGCTTACATTGATGATATGGTGGTAAAGAGTAAGAAGAAGGATGATCACTTGGAGCACTTACAGGATGTGTTCGGTGTGTTGAGGAAGTACGGAATGAAGCTTAATCCAACCAAATGCTCATTTGGCGTAAGCTCTGGCCAATTCTTGGGACATGTAGTCAATCATAGAGGAATTGAGGCTAGCCCAGCCCAGGCGGAAGCTCTGATTAGAAATGCAAAACTAAAGACAACCAAAGAAGTGCAAGCACTCACAGGTCGAATAGCTGCACTGAGCCGATTCATTTCTAAGCTCTCAGACCATTGTAAACCATTTTTTAACACAATACGAGGCCATGGAAGATAAGCCTGGGGGGATGAATAACGACAGGCATTGACCAGCCTGAAAGATTACATGCGAAACCCTCCGGTTCTATCTACTCCTGAGCCAAATGAAAAGCTCATTGTGTACCTTGGGGTATCCAGCATCACGACAAGTGCCGTTCTGATCCTTTGCAAAGACGGAAAGCAATTCCTAGTGTTTTATGTCAGCAAAACAATGGCCGAGCCGGAAAGAAGGTACTCAAAGGCCGAACGGATGATCTTGTCGTTGGTCAACACGAAAAGGAAGCTCAGGCATTATTTCGAATCCCATCCAATTGTCGTCTTAACTACTTTTCCTATAAGGATGATCTAACACAAGCCAGACCTATCAGGAAGAATGACAAAATGGGCCATTGAGTTAAGCTCATTTGATATTACATACGAACCCAAAACGGCAATCAAAGGTCAAGCGGTGGCTAATTTCCTACTTGAATGTGATGTTGAAGACTTGGAGGAAGATTATAGTTGTTCCTTATGGAAGCTCTTTGTTAATGGCTCTTCAAATCAAATGGGGGCAGGAATTGGAATCAAATTGCAAACACCAGAGGGCACCACGCTGAGCTAAGCAATCAGACTTGAGTTCAAAGCAACCAACGAGGCTGAATACGAGGCATTGTTAGCTGGGCTGAAGTTGGCTAAAGAGCTGAAGATCAAGAATCTAATCGCTTATAGCGATTCACAGCTAATCGTTCGGCAAGTAATTGGAGAATACGGAACCAAAGATAAGACTATGGAAGCATGCCAAATCGCGGTTCTGCGTGAGGCAAAAGACTTTGATCAGATTAAGTTCATTCAGTTGCCGAGGGAGTATAATGAAGATGCCGATTGCTTAGCCTATACTATATCCAGTTGTAGAGAAACATTGGCTAGGGTCATCCCGGTTGACGTGTTGATCCACTTGTCCATTTTTGATGAACTGCCCGATCCGAGCGCTCAGCAAGTTAATGTTATACCATATGAGCCGAGCTGGATTGATCCAATCATGGCTTTCGTATGTGATGGTGTGCTGCCCGAACAGAAAGATGAAGCAAGAAAAATCAGGTCTAATGCCGCGAAATATGCTATTGTGCGTGATCAGTTGTACATACGGTCCTTTTCGGGTCCATACTTG